TGTGTGTGTGTGTGTGTGTGGATAGAGAGTCGGACTTGTAACCCGAAGGTCGTGGGTTTGAGTCTCAGGTCCGGTAGGGACTGTAGGTGGGGGGAGTTAATATCCAGCACTCTCTCCACCTTCAATACCACGACTGAGGTGAGACCCTTGAGCAAGGCACCGAACCCCCAACTGCTCCCCAACTTGGCTGCCCACTGCTCCAGGTGTGTGTTCATGGTGTGTGTGTGCGCGTGTTTGTTCACTACTCACTGCTGTGTGTGTGCACTTGGATGGGTTAAATGCAGAGCACAAATTCCAAGTATGGCAAACCATACTTGGCCTCACGTCCTTTCCTTTTATTTATTTTTTTTTTTTCAACGCCTCCTTGTAAGAGCTAATATGTCATTTCTTTCTCATTTTGTCTCTCCCCACAATCTCTCTCCTACTTCATTTTTTCACTCTCTTTCTTTCTATTTTCACCACATAGAATCCATGCAGTTGAGCCAGATCTGTTGTTTTATTCCACCTGCCAAGGATTATGCTATATGAGGACTTTCAGCGTCTCTTTGATCTAACTCTTGGATGGAGTGGAAGTCAACAGCAATGACTTCAACATGTGTCTAATCTGATGGTCGGCGTTTTGTGAACTGGAGCTGCTTTGTAGCTTTCAAACATGGATCAGCTTTTCTGAATTAAGGACTCTGGCTGTAAAACAAAAATTAAGTGCGGATACAAGCTTTCATTCACAGTGTAAGTCATGATGGTTGATGATGAAACGAGTTAAATGTGTTCTGTGTTCTGGAGAATTTATGTATTGCTTGGTTTTTTTGGCCCCCACTGAAAAATGTTCTGCTGTCTAAGAGTCCTAAATATGAATAACCTCACTAAGAGGGTATTACATGTATATCTCTCAAAACAAATCATACTTAACAAACAGGACTTGTCTTGTGCTTTGCTGTGTTATCTCAGAGAAAGGTATGCATGAAGATGAAATCTCACTGATGCAGAGCTATCTGTTTATATGATCGACTGCTTTCTTCAGCTGCAGGAGCGTTAAGAGGTCCACAATAGGATAGATGAGTTATCTCCCTGTCTCCTGCTTCATCCCGCTTTCTTGCTTTTTTTCCCCTCTTTTTCTTTTTCTCATTGTCTCATAAGCTGTTGTGCAGATTTCCCTCAGTTCAGAAGGACTTGTGTTAGATCAAGCATCTCTGAACTCTTTGAATATTTATACAATTAGATGCTTTAGAGCAGAGGTCTAGTGGGTTCTGAAACAAACAAACAAAAAATACTATGTCTTAAAACAAAAATTGCTTCACGGCTTATGTTTAAGAATTATTATTAATAATATAACAACATTTTTCTTGCAAAAAATCAATAGCATAAACATAAACATGCAGCAATCCATTTGTTATCATGTTACAAGGCATTAAAACTGATACTTAAAAATGAAAATTCTGTCATTTGCCCACCCTCATGTTGTTCAAAACTGAATTTCTTTCTTCTGTTGAATACAAAATAAGATAATTTTAAGGATTTGTTGGAAACCAAACAGTTGACAGTAGGCATTGAGGGGGACCACAAACTGTTTAGTTACCAACACTCTTCGAAATATCTTCTTCTGTGTTCAAAATAAGCAATAAATTCATACAGGTTTGGAACAGCATGAGGCTGCACAAAATGATTACATAATTGTTATTTTGGGGTAAACCTTTAAGGTTACATCACATAATATTCATTACTTTATTATAAATTTTTTTTTTTTTTTTCAGATATGAGAAACATAATTATTTTATTTTATTTACTTGTTACAGTTTTGGGTCATTCATTTTATTTATTTTTTTAGTCCATATTAAGTCATTTTAGTCATTTGAACAAGATTTTCTTTTTTTCATAGCAAACTGTAATATAAACATTTTGGATGATAAATTATCTCAATTCATTGGCAGGGGTAGACACTGAGTTTTTGTGATAATATATTAATTATATTTTAATGCAATACAAACACTTGCTGTTTATCATCTACACGAAGCAAACATTTTCCATCTCAGACCTGCCCATTCTGTTCATGGAAATTTCCAATATGAACAACTTATTCTCTGTTAATACTGCCACATGTTCTTATCGGCACTTAAACACCCTTTGTGTTTTCTGCCAACAAGACTCTGTTTCCTAAAACATATTTGCACCCTCATCCCTTCTGCCCTCAAAAACATATTAACATTTTCACCCGGGTGCTTATGGACATAAAATAACCATTGCGAGAGACAGAGAGAGAGAAAGACACGGAGCTGGAACACTGACAGCAGCGTTCATAAGGTTTCAATATCTGAAAGGTGCCCCCTCCTTCTCTACAGTGTCATGTAATACAAAACTGTGGGAGACTATAAAAATATAGCTTTCCAATTTTTTTTCATCACTAATTGATGGATGTCTAAAATATAAAAATAAGGAGAAGCCTAAAACAGACCCAAGGCCCTGCCCGCGTCTGAACTATGACAGGCTGAAATGCAGATCCCTTTTTAAGTACAGCTTTTATTTTGACATTATTACAAACTGCACTTTTTAAAGCATTCTTTTTAAATACACATAAGTGGCCTTAATTTCATTTCCTTTCACCTTTTTTTTTTTTTTTTTGATAGACACGTTCTCTGAGGTGTGTGTGTAAGTATAAGACAAATTTGGACAAGCATTATAAAACAAAATCCTTGTTCTGTTCTTAAAAACACTGAAATTTGATACTGATTGAGCTTCTGTTTAAACATAAGTACCGTTAACCAGAAAATTGTATTTTGAACTATATTAAAATATAGTTACTAATACAAAAATCTAGATAATATAAGAGTCTGTCTTTGAATATTGTTTTTTCTCTGACAAATAAAAACATAAATACTGGCCAAGTGAATGCAAATAGCTTTGATCTTAGCTTTACATTGGGGAACAATTTCATGAAGTCACTACACAGTCACTGGGCTGCTATCAGTAGGGTTTGGCCATGAGCCGACTGAGTGCGGACGAGTCTTTCACTTGTCCGTCATCAGTCAAAAGCTCATTTGTCCCATCAGCCAGTCGTACAGAAGCAGACAGCGTCGGTCTCTCTGTAAAGGCTCCTTTCTGACTCCACATTTATTGCTCAGCCTGCAGAAAGGAAGCTCATTTATCTCCAGTGTCACTCCTTTATTATTCCTTCATTTTCTTTGGCTCTGTTTGTGCACATACAGCCTGTGAGTCACTGGAAGCCTTCATTCATTCAAATGTCCAAAATATGCTATTTTAGAAAATGGTCATTGGTCATTAATAATCCTTAGAGATTAACAATTTCCATAGAGGATTTACATGGTATGAGTAATGAATAATTGAGTATGTACATGCACATTCATTTTCTACTTAGCTTAAAGTGATAATTTGCACATGTGCAGTTAGTACTAATAGTCTAAGATTTCATTATTTTTAATTTAATAATATATTTGTCAATTAATCATATTACTATAAAAAAATCTGAGTGAAAAGTTGAAATGAACATGCTTTTGGTGGGTCATTTTTGTTATGCAGCACTTTATGTGCTATGTAAATAATATATATATATATAGAACTTGATTAATTATAGCTTGACTATTTAAACAACAGCAAGAAAATGAGCAGGATGCCTAACAGGATGAAGATGAAGTTCAAAACTTTTTGCCATTTCTCAGGGATTAGCATTAGGGTGTAAACTTGAAGTTTAAAAATATATATTTCACAATTTTGATATGATCATACCGATATATAGTACGGAATGTTTTAGAGGAAGACAAACCAACTAATACTACAAAACATCACAGAATAAATCAAATCTATTTTAAATATATACAAATGTTTGTGCTTTTGTTTATCCAGCAAAAATGATGTCACTTCCTGGAGAATGGTGTCATTAAGGATCTGGCACATATTGCAAAAGATTAAAAAGACTGTACGTAAAACTGAGAAATAATTGTAATATATGATATAAATTATTATATATTATTATGGATTCTTATATTAATTCTTATATATAATTACATATAAATTATTATATATAAATGTGGCAAAAATGGCAATATCATCTCAAACCAAAGTAGTGAAATTATTTAAAATGTATCCCATGTTCATTGAATTGCGATATTGTTATAAAAGACAAAATGCTTATATGATTAGTGACACTGTGGAAATAGTGCATCAGCTTGGATAGCCTTTTTATGCATAAAATTTTTTCACCCAAAATCTTAAAACTTTTATTTTTTATTTTGTTTACATTGGGGGGGGGAAATGGATCCAATTTGTATTCTGTATATATTCTGTATACGCATAGGGCCAGATTTACTAAACGGAGCAAATTAGCGTGAGACCGAAATCCCATAAAGGCATCATTGGGAGTGTAAAGTGATCTACTGACAATGCGCAAAGAACACCAATAGAGCCAGATCATTTCCACAATGACCAACACAATCTACCAAGAGCAGCACAAATTAGCATCTATCACAGCCATGTCAAGTGGGTTAAGACTTTTTTTAAAGTTTTTTTTTGGATGTTAAATAATGGCGCAAATACCAGTAAACTGATACTGCAAACCTTAGTAAAGCATATGCGTATGCAATAAGGTTAGCTGCAAAATTAACTGTCCATGTCTTTTCATCACTAATATTTCACTGCCTGTCTGTCTCCTAACAGTAGTTTTTTGTAACACCAAAAGAGGGTTTGTTCTGGCACAAGCTGTTAGTAATGGTGTTACACCAGCAGCGGTAGTAGAAATAGCTTGAAGAGCCACAGTAAATCTGCTCTGTATTCAATGTCATATTGACACATGGTGATAAGATGTTAGTGTGTTTGAAGTTTTTTCTATGCCAAAACTGACATTACAGCTTTTGGACGATGGGGTGAGAGAATCATCGACACATCTGCAGGCCAGCGGAAATACCGAAATCTTGCATGCTTCTTTGATTGTTACATTTAACATATCATGTGCGCTACCAGCGCTGCTGCTGCAAAGCATTAAGCTCAGTAACCGATCTCTTGTAAAATGCGCTTGGAAATACTATAGAAATGGAACGCATGAGCATGAGGATTCCACACGGTTATCCTAGGAGATGATAAACAAAAGGATAAGGTGATATACTTTAAGTGATATATTGAGCACATTTGGGATTGCACAAAAAGAGAGAGAGAAGAGAAAATAAAAGAAGAAGGTTGGGGGTTGAAGACTGAGGCATCACCTCTGATTTATTCTAATCCGTAAAGGTTAGTGTATCTAAGAACAGATCAGTTGGGTAGATCACATCACCCCACATCCGTTACACATTTGCTTTTCACATCCGTTTCACATTTCCAAATCTTTTTACAAAAGGCTGAGAGGCAGTGGACAGATGAAGGACAGAACTGTCCAGCCTGGAAAGAGTCTTCCAGAAACAAAAGGAAAACCTCTAGCAGAGATTAATGCTCTCCTCTATATATTCCGATTTAGAATCCAGATCTGCTTCTCTTTTATGGCTTTCTGTGCATTCCTTTGGTATTGTACTCTCACGGAAATCCTGTTCGGCAGGCCGTTGC